AACACTGGTCTTTTAACACTTTCACTGTCCGATTTCCAGACACAATAGTAAGACAATAGCAATGACTTATTCAAGAAAAGAAAATTCAAAAATTCAAAAAAAAAATTCAAGAAAAGAGCGTACTCCTCTTTAAAAGGCCGGCAACGCATCTGCGACTCCCCTGGTGTTGCAGTTGTTCATGGGCGGCGGTAGTCACTTACCATCAGGTGAGCCGCAAGCTCGTTTGCCCCCTCTCCTATAAAAAAAAATGTAGTACACGGGACAGCGAAAGGGTTAATAGTATGTAATGGTAATTTTTATGGTAAGCTAAGTTAGTGAGCTTTAGCATCTTCGGCTGCATCACCATTTACCTTCAGGTGAGATATCAGTCAAGCCCTGGCTTACAATAGTTACAAAGTATTAAAATAGTACCTACTTTAAATAAAAAATTCAGTTTTCTCAGCCATGTAAAAGATTTTTTTTTATAGGAGAGGGGGCAGACATGCATGCGTCTCACCTGATGGTAAGTGACTACCGCCGCTCATGAACAACTGCAACACCAGGGGAACCAGGGGAATTGCAGATGCGTTGCCGGCCTTTTAAAAAGGAGTAGGCTCTTTTCTTGAAGGTCCCTAAGTCGTTTCGGTTCGGAAAAATCGCTGATGGTAATCGATTCCACAAGATTCCACACGATCGGTTAGGACGGTTTAAAATTTAATATTTTAAGCCAACTCTTACGTCCGTACATTTTATCTTTTCAATCGGCTTCAAAAAAGGAGGAGGTTCTCAATTCGTCGGAATCTTTTTTTTTCTCCGATTACTCGAAGACGCCTGAACCGAATTAGAAAATTTTAGTTTTTTGTTTTAAAGGGTATATTTCCCACGTGGGTCCCATTAAAATTTTATCGAAATCGGTTGAGTGGTTTTAAAAAAATCAACAATAAATTATTTATATTGAATTCGGTTGTACAAAAATTTTAATTTTATCACTTGTGTTGACATTAATTCATGTGGTCTCATTTTGAATTTCTGGTCATGTTTTTTTTTTATAGAATAAGGGCGACAAATAAGTACAGTCCACCTGATAAGTGTGTGCTGTGATCCATAGACATCTGCATCTACCCTCGATTAAGAATCAAAATGCAGAATGCGTTGTCACCTTTGAAGACTGACTGACTAAGATGTAGTGCCTCGTTTTCAATAAAGAATTGGTCTCCGGTTCTTTACACAGGTAGCCGAACTCTGCTGTTTTTTGGTAGTTATCTCATCTCATTAATCTAAATATCTGTGACATCGCAGGTGACGCTCTAAATTTTGTTTGTGAAAGATTAACTTTTTTAGGTGAACTGATTTCGATATTTCTTTTTATTTGAAAGCTGGTGCTTCTCATGTGGTCCTCAATTAGCTTTTGAGTTATCATTAATAATTGATATTGAAGTCGGTTGTATAAATTTTTTAATTTTACTATTTGTTCATCGTCGATAGTAAAAATATTAGGACATAGATAATAGGCCACAGTAGGTAACTTTGCTTGCAAAGGCGATAAACTTTTATATGTTACGGCTTATGGACCAAGTGATTAATTGTGTACATATTTGAAAAAACCTATATGAGTAGGCAATATGATAAAAACTATTGAAATAATAAAACTTACCAGGCCTTATGAATAAAGTCCGTTACTTATTGGGCAGAGTAATAAACATATAGGTTATATTTAAATAAAACTAGTTTTTACGGATTTTATAACCACGGCTACCTCCAGATTAAAACACCTCAGTTGCCCTTGCATTTCATTTCATAATATGAATGATCCATAATATGTATCTAATTAGAGGCTCCGACAAGTAGAATGGAGAGACAGTGCCAAAAGTTAAACAGAAAAAAAAACTTGGCCCTATACACCATCGGCCATGATGGACGAATTCTAGCGATCACGATCGTGTAGAGGGCATAATCGCCTGTAACTGCCCATGATCGGTGATGATCGAGCGTAATGGCCGCCGTGTCGGTTTTTCGGACAAACATCAAAGCAAGTTCCGGCCATGATCGTGCGCGCGTCTACATTATCGCCGAACGCCGATGCTCTATAAACTTACCTTGTTCTATTTCAGTGTATAGTTAACATACACCGAAATAGGACAAGTAAAAATAGAACAACTTCCTATTTTTTAGCCGACCAAAAAGGAGACGGTACTCAATTCGACTGTATGTTTTTTTTACCGTGACAATGGGTGCTAGGGTGCTGTAAAGTGTTCGAAAAGTCGGGAATCAAAAATAAGTTAGTATACGCGATAAAATCCGTAAAATTACTAGTTTTATTTAAATGTGTAGTGTTCGCGTAAATAACAGAAATAAAGGTAAAGTTAAGTGAAATTATGACCAGACAATGTAATAAATACCTAATGATAACTTCATTACGTATTTATTACATTGTCTGGTCATAATCATAAATCAATTTTCATCATCGAGTACCTACATAGCCCGATTTGCGTTGTCATTATTAATATTTCCCGGGAATTATAAATAGTGGCCTGATTAATCATTTGGTCTATAACATAATATCTCATTTGTCAAAGTGTACAAACTATTTCATATGATTTTTTTTATTGTATAAGGGTGACAAGCAAGCACACAGTCCACCTGATGGTAAGTGGTTGCTGTGGCCCATAGACATCTAATTATAACCTCGATTACGGAACTAAATGCAGATGCGTTGTCATCCGTGAGAACTAAGATAGTATGCCTCGTGTACAGTAAACAGGGTCTCCAATTCTCTACACTCACCATAAGAAACACAGCGGCATTATGCTGCTAATTTACGCTGTATTCTGTGAGAGCGTGGGCCTTCCCCAGTTGATCCGAACCATTCGTGCTACAGCTATACTATTAATATAGCTGCAACATGGCTCTACCACATAATTTAACTGACTATTAACATTAGCGCTGGATTTAACTTTTTGGTGACCTAGGTTTTAATAGCGAATATTGTCCTAGTTTTTAACTTTATATAGGTTTTTTATTTGAAGTATATTAGTTACAATTTTAAGGTAAGTATACTTTAATGGCTGAAATACTGTGTATGAATTTTTAATAGTGAAATCCCTGATAATATCGTCAAAATTGTTTTCACGTATCAAATCACTTTCAATGCAAAGTATTGATAATGTATACAATCTTCCTGATTATAAAGATTTACTAATCTCTTTAACTGGATTTATTTCTATTTTGATTGACTTGTAACATGCCTTTTTTTCATTATGAAACATTTTTTTTTAAATCAGAAGTTTAATAACCGATGCCCTCTTTGAGGTGATGGCCTAGGTCAGTGCCTAGTGTGACGTTTTATAAATCCATCACTGATTAACAAAAATATTTCTAATAGCAAAAATAAAATAATTATTTGAGTTTTGATTTAAATTTTATCTATGACCTGCTTGATATTTATTTTGCTGCTTAATATAATACCTATAATAAAATGCCTAATGTTGAGTTGAGCTTGAATAATGTGCATTGAATGTGTACTCGTTCCAATCGACCTTGTGTAACTACGTAGTATTTATGAATGGTACTTTTGTATGTTTATAACACTTATCTTATAAATAGTAAATAACGAGTTATGTCATCGTTTATATGAATTTAGAACCGCTTAATGTATTGCATGTTCTATGTAAACTTTAATTTTATTCGACAAAATAATATTTTTTTAGCCAAAAACCTTTTGCTGAACCGTAAATATTCTTATTATATCTATGAGGGAGGCATATGCGCAGTTATGGACTTTTGAGAGTGATATGATGGCAAATCAAAATTATGTTATCATAATACATACTATAAACCAAACTTGACGTTATCTTTACTATCACTTTAGTATTATTAAATAGCTTCCTTCCTGTATTAAATGTTATTCTTTAAATGAAAACAATCGATACGTTATCTACACTTGATGGTTTAGTATCGTATCGATATAATTATATTATTTGTATTGTATTATAATTTAAGTGGATTTATTTGATATCCGATGTAGTCAATGTTAAATAACTTGTTACTACAATTGTTTTTTGTCTCGCTTTAATTGTGTTATTAATTGTTATTTTTAACACGTATATGTATACGTAACGGAATTTTTGAATGTGATTTTCATCCCCTTCAAAACGTTGGATTGTTTTGAAACTTCGCACACTTATCAAGGGCCGATGACAATGCAACAATTTAAATAGTTTGTCCCATTATCCTTGCCACGATCCTCAGGATTTGCGAATAATTCATAAAACAACTACGATTTCTGCCAGTTCAATCTACTGTAAGCCGGGTAAAAGAACTTCGTTCCAAAAAAAAAACACGCGTTTGTAGATAACCGAAATAAATAGTAGAAAATAATTTTCAATAAGTTTAAAATAAGAAAATAGTGATTAACATTAAAAAAATGATTTTATTATAAAAAGCGTGGATTGCTGATGTCATTTGTTGTAAATATTTTTGTGGATATTTGTAAAATTAGCGTCATCATAAAAATATCTGAAACTCACAGTTTTATTTATTTCTTTTTTAAAAACATTACCTTACTAGGTTTTTCCCTATATTGTGGAGGCAATTAACAAACATAAATTGCAAAAGGACAAGCATCCAGACCCGGAATAATTATATGTAGGCCATACAAATACTTGTTCCGTGCGGGATTCGAACCCTTGGGCCTTAGCACTGCAACTATGATTGTAATTGCTAAGCTACTGCACCACGGAGCCGTCAGTTATATTAAGACCAAGATACTTCGATTTGAAGCGTCAGTAGCCTAATGGCAGGGCGCGAACTCGAAAGGTCGTGGGTTCGAATCCGCCATTCGACTACTGTCGTGAACCACTTCTAACACAAGCATTTTAAGCTTACCAGAAGTGGTTATAGGGAATATTAGTAATGTTTAACAGCATTACTAATATTTTGTAAAAAATAAATATTTGTATCGTACAAGTAGGAGGTAGGTAGGTACTGGCTCCAATTTTCAACTCATATTTTTTTTATTTCAGTATTCACAGCGTTACGCACCGAGTTCATAGAGAACGTTATACTGGCATACAATCCAGACATATTGTATAAAGAAGAACCGCGGGACGATACGAATACCAGCCTTAGAAACACATTCCCCAAAGTCTCGCCAATATCTCTCGGCAGTAATGTTGGTAAGTTGGTTATTATTATTGTGCCTGTATCCATATTAGAGTACAAAGAAAAAAAATACCATACTTATGGATGCCATACACGATCCAGTTCACCGTTAAGTTTGCAACGCGCTTGAAGCGGCGTCCAGTTTGCACTGCATCCATATAGATCACTCACGTTCAAGTTCGCCCTCAAGTTTGCATGATGCCGCACCAGTTGTAACCATGGCGTCTCTCGCTTATTGCTTTGTCTAACTTCATGCATACTTGACCGCTCATACACCCGTTCAAGTTTACATGACGCTGCAAACTTGATCAAGTCGGCAGAATCGAAATTAAATTTTTGCTTCAAGTATGCATGTCGTGCACCAGTGAGCAAACCCTTTTTACTGCTAACTAGGTATTACATGTCAGTCGTCAGTGGTGCCAACGTTTATTATGCATTTTAATTTTTTATCAAAAACAGAGAATTCAAGACTGTGTGCCCTTTTATCTGCTTTACCTGTATATACAGGGTTATTTTTCAAAGAGTAGCCAAATTTTAAACTTAAGTTCCAAGAATCATGATATACTTCTACTTTTATTTGAAACTATCCCAAATTGAACGTGATTTATGGGCAACAACGTTTTTGCCTACCGATCGACCCTTACAAATGTGTGCGTGCGCAGTAAAATGAGTTAAAATGATGCATTATCATGCATTTTGAATTTAAAAAATAAAAAGGACAGAATGTTTGAGATTCATTTAAATTAATTTTTCCTCACCAGCCTATATTACCTATTCTGAACCTTCTCTGCAAATTTGGCCGGTTATTGCAAAATAACCCTGTATAAAAAAACATGCTCTCACAGAACTCAGTATAAAGTCATAATACGACTGTAGCGTGGCTCATGGTTTTCTTTGTTTCTGTCTGTATAACTATTATTATTTATTTGATCGCTCGACCGTGTGACATATTTAATTAAGTATATTTAACTTTTTAGGTCGGTTACCCAGTACAGAAATGGAAGCGGACAGCGAGGCGGACGCGAGAAAATGCGAAGCTATACTTCCCGGTATCAAAGTGTTGTGGGCCGTCCTAGAAGATTACGTTAAAGAAGGTCGGTTTCAGTTTATAAAGACAAATTTGAATATTTCTTCAATTATTCTTATAACTATTGTCTTTTTTAGAAGTAATTTTTTCAATGTATATATCTATTACATCGTCATAGACTCTTGAATTGTTGTTAGTCGACAAAATCATCAACAAACAACTATTGTATAATTTAAAAAAAAAAACTACATTTAGTAGTTTCTGAAAACTTGACTTGGTTATATATTATATTATCAGAATTTTAATTTTTCATTCATTCGACTACGAGGAACTGTGTGCAATAGTAGAATGTTAACCCGGTTTACATCCAGCTATGACCCCATGACATAAATCGTCAACCAACTAAGTTCTCCGGTGAAGTTGGTTGTTTAAAAACACAACGTCAGGAAAGCGTTAATTCGATAATAAGTAAATTTTTATCAGAATCTAAGAGTCAACTGTAATAATTCATTATTTCATTTGGCTATGATATTATCGTCAATCTTTTTAAGTAATGATATTATTATAATAATTTTTTTCGTATGGTAAGTGTCGAGAACCGGATACCCTTTTTGCTGGAAAAGAGGCATTCTATCTTTGTACTCACGGGTGACAACGCATCTGCATTTTGATTCGGAAACGAGGATAGATGTAGATGTCTATGGGCCACTGCCATCACTTACCATCAGGTGGACTGTGTGCTCGTTTGTCACCTAATACTATAAAAAAATCTACTGTAGGAGTGTTTGTCACTGAACCACTAAACGACTGGACCGATTTTGATGAAATTTATGGTGTGTTTTAGTGGGTCCTGGATGGTTTAGATTCACAATTGGACCCGATAGAAGGCACTGTTGTCAAGACCCAGAAATCACCCGTGCAAAGCCGGGCGGACCGCTAGTGGTTAATTTATGACAGTTAATTTTATTGAATATTGAATATATTTTTAAACATTCAACAAGTGTGCTCCTCGTATCTAGTGTAGATATTTTACATCAGACATATTTGAGATTAAATGAGAACAATATTTTTCGATGTAAGAAATCAAAAGTTTGTTTGTCATTCAATTAAATGAGTCAACATGTTTTATTATGTACTAGCGATTCGCCCCGGCTTCGCACGGGTAATTTCTGGTTTTCGGCAACAGTACCACCGACCGGATCCAATTGTAAATCTAAACCATTTTCGAATCAACTTAATCACCACACACACTAAATTTTCTCAAAATCGGTCCAGCCGTTTAGGAGGAGTTCAGTCACTTCACATTGAGAAAATTATATTTATAAAGACTAGTGATGGTTTATACTACTATATATACCATGGGATCTGTGGGTTTACCGCCATTCATCAGAAGCTATGGAGACTTCCTGGTTTCTATGGTTGACTTATGCTAAGCATTGGGTTAGATCCGGTGATGGATTTTTTAAATTTGGTTGGCAGGTCGTGTGCAACAACTAGGCGTGGCTGATGTGGGCGGCGGTTGCCTTAGGAAGCTGCACGGGTGGGCGCGCGTGAAGCCCACTATTGCCCAGATCAATCTCGCCTCGTGCTGCGTGGTGCCGCCATCTTTGCACGCGTTCTGTCGTGCGAACGACGTGCAACTGTTGACACACGCTGATCCACCCGGTGACTAATATTTCTTAATCAACAATTAAATAGTTCACATATTCATTTTTTATGCGTGCATCTACCGTTACAGCCTATTAAAGTCCACTGCTGAACATAGGCGTTCCCCATAGATTGCCTCAAAAGGGGGATATTTGCCATAGTTACCACGTTTGGCAAGCGGGTTGGCAACCGCAGTTTTTTTTAAATTTTTAGTCGTAATTAAGAAGACGCTGCTGCCCATCTCCTGATTTGTTTTCCCCTGTCGCCTCTTACGACACCCACGGGGTATGGGGTAGTGTATATTCTCACACCGCCACTACGCGGTTCATGTGCGTGCGCGCATCTATTCAGGTTTAATAGAAAGAAATAAAGAAAGAGACAATTATTTGTCCAACACAATACATTAAGAAATACAGAAATTCTTAAGTGTAAATTACAAATTAGTATTAATGCTGTGGTGTGATGTCAAAAAAATCCCCGCTCAGTGATAATCTGTGGGTTATCACAGCACTGGTTTTTAGTCGGGACTTTAGTTGACTTACGAACAACTGGAAGTTAAAGATAATTAATAGAATCAGGCGTTACTTTGCGGAAGTCCATTATATTAAATTTGACAAAAAATTACTTTGCGTACATCCGCTAGATAAAATAAAATGATGTGTCTTACCTTGTTTGAAGAGCACCTCCCACCCTCCCTCAATTGCGTGCACTATCCCCGTCACCACTAATCCCAGTACCATTACTCCCAACACCACTACACTAGGAAAGACACACCACTGACGACAATACGACACGTGTTTCGCCTCTACACGAGGCATCCTCAGGTGATATAGACTCTACGGTGGCTGACCGCTAACTGAGCGGGGAGCCAAAACAAGGTGTTTAGGCCAAATAATTACTATTGTAAAAACTTGGATTCAAGACTCGTGTCTCGGCATTTTCGCCCGATGGAATTTAAAGGTCACCTCTGGCCCCCTCCCTCGGGCGGTTCTCTCGGTCTAGCGCTGAGTCGCTCGACGCGTGGGCGAAGTTAGTATTGTCTGCGACCGCTGAGTTGATTGCACGCGGCCGGTGTTGATTGGACGGTCTAAATTTTGAGTAAATTGTGCGCGTCTAATTTACTATCGAAGATTTGGGTCTCGTTAAGATCGCCTCGAATTGAGTTGTCTGTTTTGAGCGTTTTAAGTGATAACGAGGCTTATCCTTGAGTTTTGAGTTATTAATTTAACTTAGATTGACATTAATTTGCGTCGACGAGTTGCTTTGTGGCATTTTAATATCGTGCGAAGGAATTTTGCTTTGTCGTGTGGAACGCTGAACTTTGTGACTCGAGAAGAGATCGCGTTTGTGCTCGATGATAATTTGTTGCTAAGTGAACATGGAACATTGAACCTTGACCGACAGTTCTTAAGTTGAGCAGTGTGTCACTTGTTTCGGGTTCAATTAACGTCGATTTGGTTGAATTTGAAGTTAATTAAATGTACAATAAAGTTGATAAACTAATATAGTGAAATAAAACAGAAGGTTTCAATTGGTGAACGCCCACTGGAGGGATTGCACATTTTGGAGAAAAGCAGCGAGAGACGCCCAGACCCGGCGCCGTTTCATAATGGAGCCATATGCACAAACGGGCCTTTGCACCCTCAATTTTGCCGAGGCACGGCGCTAACACCGCTTGGCAAGGTGCTGACTGACTGCGCCGACGTAGCAGTTTACACTTAACTGTTACGTCAGCGGGCGATGGGGTCGTCACTTCCCTACGCCTTAATTATTATTATTATTTTGCGAACAAATTAACGTCCCCGCTATGAAATCTGTTAAATATTATACCTCACTTTCTAGTGGCGCCACCCTGGTTGCAGAAAAAGTCGTAGATACCGTCAAAGGAGTTGTACATGGATAATGCCCATGCATTAGACATAATAGCATTGACCGTGTAGTGTTGCTGTAACAATATCTACTACCTTATATCGTCCTGTAGGTGTTGTAAGACAGAGGCAAGCAAGCCTGGAGATGGGCAACAGCGTCTTCCTAATAATAACTAAAAATAAATAAAAAAGTGCGGTTGCTAACCCGCCTGCCAAGCGTGGCAATTATGGCAAATATCCGCCTTATGTCTTGTAATCTATGCGGGAATCCTATGTTTAGCGGTGGGCTGTGATGAAAGAAAAATGTGAGAGTGATAGCGGTGTCAGTGAGCATCTTGTGTGTGTTTTTCACGTGGTAGAGCCATGCTGCAGCTATATTTGTAGTATAGCTGTAGCACGAGTGGGTCGGCTCGACCGGGGAAGGACCACGCTCTCACAGAATACCAGCGTAAAATAGCAGCTTAATACTGCTGTGTTTCGTATAGTGAGCGTGGAGAACCGGAGACCCTTTTTACTGGAAACGAGACATTCCATGTTAGTCCTCACGGGTGACGACGCATCTGCATTTTGATTTTTTATTGAGGATGTCTATGGGTCACAGCAACCACTTACCATTAAGTGGACTGTGTGCTCGTTTGTCACCCTATCACTCTATCCTATAATATAAAATAAAAAAATCTTCGTTGCTGCTTCCCGTCACCGGCCTAGGTACTTTACGAGTATTTTGCGGCTATTCAAACGAGATGGTAATTTCTAATTGATTGTTTCCGTCATTGGCCATAGATTATAAGGTAAATGTGTTTTTTTTTTAATATGGTATTTCCAATACACGCTTCTTTACGACACCCGCGGGACGAAAAAGGGTAATACGCTGTGATCGGGTAAGAACATAAAGCAAAAAATTAAACTTTCTTTCAGATCTACTTTCTCTAGCAGCGGTGAAGACCCTATCGGACGCGGGAGTCGGTTGCAACAATCTGGACTGGTGCGCGAGGTACCAGGTTCATATCAAGTGTAGAGGAGTACTGGCGCTCAAGGGATACGTCTGTAAAGCAACACTCGGCAATGGTATTGAAAGTAAAAAGTAGTGTAATTATATCTAGAATATTCTATTTTTGCACCTAAATAGCCGTTAATTTTAAATTATCACACTGCAAATTCTGTGATAAGGAATTTAAAGTACTGTGATATATACAAGGGAATAAATCGGGATTGAATTATATTAATAAACAACCAATTACATAGTGAGTAAAAAGTTTTTATTTACAAATTTCCCAAAAAAAAAAGTAAATGAATTAAATTATGAATAAAAAATAAGTTATGAATGTATTAAATGCCGCTGTCAGATGGATAAATCAATTAAATACTCACCCTTTTAGTCATTTAACTATTGGGCAGTCCGAAAGAGTCATACGTCTGAATCAAGAGACAAGTTATATTTTTAATACAATTATTTTATATGTATACTTGTTATGGATTTGAGCAATTGTGGGTACATTAATGATCACAGAATTTGCGGTTTCATAAGAAGCCTGGTATATAGCATTGGATGAATAATTTAATCATATTAGTCTGAGTCAATATATTTCACAAATGATTTAAATAGAAAACATGGTTGCCAACAATGTGAAATATTTGTTAATTGTTACTTTATAATCGACAACCGGCGTTATAACTATACTACTTGTGCATTATATACATTTATTATTAAATTTTTGACATATTTGTAAATATTACAATGCTATTGGTACTTGTGGAATGGCCTTTTGGGATACTCGGCTTTCGTCTTGTCTTATTATTTAGTAAAATTTACAAGAAATTACAAAAAGGGATGGCCTTATACTTAAATGAAATCGTATGTAGTAAATGGGCATAAGATTTAAATGATAACTATTTATTGAAGAACAAAAACACGGCAACACTTGTATTTGTATACATTTTGAATACACATAAATATAGATATCATTATTAAAAAAGTAAGGAATTATAACGTACCAGCTTAAAATAGTATTGACGACTGTAAGTATTATACAATATTTAATAATAAAGCTATAAAAATAATATATAACTTGCATTTTACAAATTACTTTTATGTCTCTGCATTGAACATTGAAAAGACGTTTAAAAGATTAAAAAAATGGTTTTTAACTATAAAGGTATTTTTTATGAAAAAACATGTAAAATATAACAAACGCATTTTCTTGTTCCATAAAAAAATATTTTGTCAGGAATATACATAGTGGATTATTTGGTATTGAATCATGTGATTCACATATCATATTTCATTCAATTGACGAATTATAAAAATAAAATAACATCTATAATAATAATATTATGAAGAATGCTTTTAGTAATTATTAACAGTATTTAAAATTCGACATTCCGTTTACTAAGAAAACATATTAAATCATTAAATAAAATAAAATACATGGATTGTTCTGCTTGTGCAAGAGACTTTTTTAACATGTATTGCATAAAATTTATTGAAGATTTAGTTACAAATCTGTTTTGATAATTTTATAAAAAAGAAGCAAATTTTTTAATAGTTGATATAGAATCGTAACAGTCAAAAATAAAATGTGTTATGATAATGTTTCAAAACGCTAAAAATGTTATATTAATTTTAAGATGCAACACTGTGTTGAAATTAAAGTATTTATTGATATTATACTATGTTGTTTGTTGTTTACTCTTTTTGAAATGATCCTTTTCATTGTCGGCTTTTATAACTTAAGAGAGAAGTAGGCTAACAGCTCTAATATTGGCTACTATAGAACCATGCTGCAACTATACATATTACTGGTATAGTTGTAGCACGAATGGGTCGCCTCGACGGGGGAAGGACCACACTCACAGAATACCAGCGCAAAATAGCAGCTTAACGCTGCTGTGTTTCGTATGGTAAGTGTAGCGAATCGGAGACCCTTTTTACTGGAAACGAGGCATTCCATATTAGCCCTCTTGGGTGACAATGCAACTGCATTTTAATACATAATCGAGGATAGTTTTAGATGTCTATGGCCCACGGCAACCACTTACCATCAGGTGGAATGTGTGTTCTTTGTCAATTTTCTATAATAAAGCCCACCCATATTTGCAACGCACTTTAAAGAAGGCAACAGATTCGCTAATTTTATAGGTGTAATGCCCATTGGCGTATCGAGTTTTATTTTTCAGCGCCCTTGCCACTGAAAAGCGATCGCCGATAAAACCGAAGCGCACGGTCCACCTCATTGCCTAAAATATACTACTGACATTCTTAACCTTCAAACTGGAGAACAGCAGTGGGTGCGTTTGGAATTAGGATTAACAGTATAAATAGGTGGGAAGCTGGTAACTATTCATATGAACTTAAAAGCAGAAAAACCCTACCAACTTGTTAAATGTATACACAATAAAATACATCCATACATTGGGCACAGACATTATTTCTGAAAGGGTAATAGAGTAATAAATTCGCCGAGGCGCTCCTTGTAAGTATAGCAATTAAATATACCGAAAAGAAGCTTTGGTGGTCTTCATATGGTTAAGTTTCGTCACTATGTTTTCCTTCACGCGGTAAATCAGCGTTTATATTGCAACTAACGATTTTATTGGAGCCGGCGGGTATTGAATTCGGGTGCTGTGAAATTTAAGTCGAGCGCTTAGCCCACGCTACCATTGCTTTCTTTTGGTATAAGAATATCGCCCCTTTTTCGTATAACTCTGAACCAAGACCAACATAGTTTCTTATTGGATTAGGTATTCATGTTCAATTAATTTATCGCTTAAATTTCTGCTTACAGAACTAAGATGAGCGGAATTAATGAAGGCAGGTGTTTATCAAGGTATTTTAATTTCTACCAATTGTCTAGCGTAGATGCAAGCAAAGCGGCGGAATGCGATGGAGCACATTTCTTTGCTAGCGTCTTTTGTGATTTGTTTACGTGGTAGAGCCATGCTGCAGCTATATTAATAGTATAGTTGTAGCACGAATGGGTCGGCTCGACCGAGGAGGGACCACGCTCTCACAGAATACCAGCGTAAAATAGCAGCTTAATGCTGCTGTGTTTCGTATAGTGAGTGTATAGAACCGGAGACACTTTTTACTGGAGAAAAGGCATATTCTATCTTAGTCCTCACGGCTGATAACGCATCTGCATTTTAATTCGCAAACGAAGACAGATGTAAATGTCTATGGGCACAGCAACCACTTACCATGAGGTGGACTGTGTGCTCATATGTCACCCTTATTCTATTAAAAAAAAACAACTAGGCATTGTAGTATAAGATGCATCAAAATAATAATTATTTTTCATACATACTGTGTAGTCGCATCTTGAAGTCCATAAAAAATTATTATATGTAGTACCAAAGTAAATACTCACATTTCATTGTTCATATATGCAATATGCATGGGGCAAACAGGAGTATCTACACTCTTTCCTTAAAGGATTCCTCTGATGTTGACGCTGTTATTGGGTGGTGGCAAAAGCTTTTTTTATAGAATAAGATGGATTGCCTCGTTTCCAGTAAAAACATCTCCGGGTACTAATTAACACTCACCATACGAAACAGCAGCATTGTGCGGCTATTTTACAGTGGTATTCTGTTAATGCGTGGTCCTTCGTGGTCGAGCTGACCAATTCGTGTTACAACCATAATATAGTTACAGAATGGTTTTACCACGTATAATTAATAAATTATTAACACTTATTAGCTTATTACCGTTACGTGAGTTGCTTCTGCCTATAGTAGGTTGCCAGAGTTTCGTCCGTTAATAGAAAGGGTGCACCGTGTGTACGTGAGCTTGACATTTAGGATACGGAATGCATATATTCCTCCTTCCACCTTTTTCTTCTACTTTGATTTGATGAACCTGTCAATGTCCACTGTCTAGCAGTGACATGGGATTCTCCTATTGTAGGATTTATTTGTCTTAAACGCTTCTTTTGGCACGATCTGACGGTCACAGTAACGGATGTCTCACACCTTACCATAAGACTTTTCCAACGTCTAAGCCATGAGATTTTCCTAAAGTTTCCCATAGATTCTAATTACGACATCCACGTCATTAAATAGAGTGACTGATTTGTTTACGTCACCACCACAGGCTAGCATTTGGCGACGACTTTCATAAGTGTCAAAATGAATCGCGCTTTGTGAAAATGGAAATACTGTCTAATATAAAAATTATTTTAACAACGAAAGTTGTCTTAAATTTTTGCTATGCTTTATTTGTAGGCGTTAAAACTTACTATTAAACTTAATATTAAACGACCCACGATAAAAGCGTCGTGTACCTATTTTGTTTATTCTATGATCGTGTGCCGCTTCTCGTGGCACTATAACAACGCCTGGAAGATTTTAATGAGCGGTATAGGCCGTATAGGATGTTTATTAATCCTTAGCCATCAGTATGTGATTCGCTTGAAAGCTAACCAGTTTATAGATTTACTATCAGCTATAGGGAAACGGCCTTTAAATTTTGTTTTAAAAACATTAATTATTATTTGAAGCTTTGGCCAACTTTAAACATCAAAATAATAATAATAATATAACGACAATAAAAAGGTGGTTGATTATAGAACGTGGCCCAATTATGCTAACATGTAATAGACTAGCGATCGGCCCCGGCTTCGCACGATTGATTTCTGGATCTCGACAACAACGGCACCTACCGGCTCCAATTGTGAATCTAAACAATTCTCTAATCAACTTAAACACACACACAAAATGTCATCAAAATCGGTCCAGCCGTTTAGGAGGAGTTCAGTCACATACTCACTGATAGAAGAATTATATAATATACAATATGCATGTATTATACATATAAACTTTCCTCTTCAATTATTCTTTCTATTGATGAATACCGCATCGAAGTTCTTTGAGTAGTTTTACAAGATCTAAGCGTGCAGAATGCGGGAAGCGACTTTGTTTTATACTAAGTTATAGATATAGAAGAGAGGGCATTAAATTCTGTTTTTATTTTTAATAATAAATTTGTCGGTTTATACAAAATAGCAGGTTATATACAGATATTATAAGTAAACAGTGGTTGAGTTAACTGAAGATAAGGTTCTCCAAGCCGAAGCCGGTCACGGCGGCC